ATTGTACGCAACATTACCCTGCATTTCTGCAAGAGGCTGTTTCTACGGCTCGAACCCGTGATCTCCTGGTCAGATGGCAGCAACTTTACCAGTTACGCCAAGGCTTTCCTTCTTAGCTTTCACTTACTCATGTTAATTATTATATACCTATTGATGCTCTTTTTCACTGGCGATAGGATACTTTGTTGGAACAACATCTTGTTACGGGTACATTTGGTGATCAAGAATGTCAAGATATCGGAAGACCAAAAAAGTCCTTATTGGTGAGGAAAGAGCTAATTTGTAACATAACCACAGCTTGTCACTTCCATTCTGTTCTTCTGTTTGACAACCACATTATGTTGTTGATATGCAGGTTGTTATCTGTTGGTCATGCTTCCTTTTCTTCAGCGCTATAAAATTTTTCGAGTGGTGTCCATTCTCTTGGGGAGGAGTTGTATTCTGTGCAGTTTTCTTGGTCTTCGTCCTAGTCTTGATGCAGATTCTCATTGTCTTTTCCAAGTCAGAAAAATCTATTGCTCCTAAAGTACCTCCGCGAAATACATTGGAGGAGAATTTACTTCCAGCATGATGATATGATGAAATTTAAGATGGTTTAAATAGGTGTAAATTTGAGCATTCAAATTAGAGGAGAGGACTAAGAAGGGCTGGTTTTACAAGAATTTTTTTTGAAGATCAAGATTCATTGATTCTTTGGTGGCTTTAACTTTCTCATTTTTTTTTTTTCTTTTGATTTGTTATTCAAGATTTGGCTTATGAAAATATCAGCAATATGCTTAGGTTCAATTTAGTAGTTTGCAAAAATATCCAAATGTATCTTAATTTGTGTTCCATTGTATGTGAAAAGTTGATACAATTGTTGTAAGATGTATTTGACAGAAAAGTATTAGCTGGAGCTGGAATACCACTTTTATATTATAAAATTTTACATATTTTCAGTAACCAAATGGCTAGTGCTTAATATTGCTTTCGTACGAAGAAAATTGTTAAAAATTTCTTCTTTTCTTTATGATTAATCCTATTTTAAATGTGTTTTAATAATTCTACACATATAGCTGGAACTGTGCAAGTGTTCATGCATGAGGTGCCATGAAAGGTTGTAGACTTTGAGGAATTTGGGGAAAAACCAGAAATAGCAGATTCACAATTGATAATTGAAAAATAACCATAGTTTCAAAAGTAAGCGAAATTTAGCCACTTTTTTCATGTAAAAATAAACTCTCAACAAAAATACCCTAAAAAATTCAAAAATATTCCAGCATAATATGCTAGAGTTCGAATTTTTTACATATTAGATTCTAACATAATGTGCTGAAGTTCCAACATAATATGTTGTAAGTCTATATGCAGGAGCTCCATAATCCCACATATTATGTTGGAACATTCCGTGTGCTGGAGTTCTAACATAATATGCTGGAAGTTTATACGTAGGAGCTCCATAATCTTGCATATTATACTGGAACTTTTCATGTTTTAGCAGAACAATGACTATTTTTCAATGACTTTGCAAATACTGACTATTTTTCGATTACTAGTCCGAAAATATCTAGCCCCAGGGGCGGAGCTAGCCCGTTGAGTACGGGTTCGACCGAACCCAGTCGCTTTGGTCCAATCCATGTATTTGCCTTAAAAAATCTATTGAATATATACAAATTATTAATTTAGAACCCAGTAACTTGAAAGGATTAGAACCTCGAACCCATAAGCTTCAAATCTTGGCTCCGCCTCTATCTAGCCCGTGCTATTTTCACGGGAATTTCATGGTTTGGGCCTTTAATTAAACCTTGCACTTCACTTTTGAGGGAACACCAAAAAGAAAAAGGCAAAGATCACTTTTAGCTCACTATTGAAACTATTTACATCCAGTGACCGCAAAAGCATATAATTTAGATATTTTTTATATAATATACAATACAAAAAATATACATTTTTCGACTATGATTTTAAGAGCGGCTACACAGTGTCATTTCCCCCCAAAAAATCCTACAATTAACTTAATGAAGAGAAAAAAAGTAGCATCCTACTCAAATCCATCACATACATCAATTATAGCTACAAAAAGTAACAAAATTTTGACAAGAAACAACTTTACCATCAAGTATTGCAACAAAGAAATTTCAAAATCATATGAAGGTAGTTTCAAGAGATGTGAGGAAGGTAGACGAATAATCAATGGTCGCGATGATGGAGTTTCGGGCACTTGTGGAAGTTGTGGTGATGGATATAGAGGTGGTGACGAGGAAGATGATAATAATAATGGTGGTGTCAGAGACATCAACTTACGAACGTGAGGCAGAGGTGATGGTAATGGTGATGGCGGAGGTGGTGTATTGGGTGGTAGGAGCAACGATGGAGACAAGCTAGTAGTAGGGTGATTGCGAGCTGCTACAAAAAATTTGAGATTTACTGCTATTGAAAATACTAGTTGAAGGCAAAAGCTGACCATATTTTTGAAGTGATTCTGAGAATAAAATGCTCTACTATAGTACATATTTATATAGTGATCCTCTCAAGAAGTTAGGCAAATGATACTAACTTAACATAATTGTTTAGACCATATCAAAAAAAAGACAGCCCCATATACTAACCTCTCGCTTTTCGTAGAGCTTGAAAAATGTCAGATCGAATTGGAGTTATTGTATGCAACCTTACCTTGTATTTAAGAAGCTGGTTAGACCATACTGATTGCAGGGGCGAAGCTACACTCTCGTAAGGTTAGTCAATTGACCACCGTTTGTCAAAAAATTACATTACATATATAGGTAAAATGTTAAGTTTTACAGGTATATAACATATATTGAACACCCTTTTGTCAGGAAAGTTTTTTACTTTTTTAAAGTTTGAATACCCTTAAGAAAATTTCTAGCTTCGCCACTGACTGAATAATTTGTAGTTATGAATAGCACTTCAATTTATATAGACAACAAAATCGCCCCCACAAAATACATGTAGACATTTTGTTCTACCGCGGATAACTGTCATAATTAACAATAAAATACACTAATTTATATTTTTCGATTTTGAAATTATAAAGGTGGGAAAATTTTAATGGTTTATTTGATACCAAAAAGAACGTTACATCTCATGTGCTAGTCATATGTGTCTTTTGAGGGGCTTTTCACGCAAATGTCCAAAAGACAGGACATTTCATGTGTTAGTCAAATGAATGAACAATAAGTATTAAGGCTTGTTAGTGAAAATCTGTAAAAATAGCACGGTATAGCCAGTTTTCGGATTGGTCATTCAAAAATAGCCAGCGTTTACGAAGTCAATGAAAAATAGCCACTATTTTTCTACAACAAAGACCGGTCCAACATAATATACTGGAGTTCGGTGCACCTGTGTATGAACTCCAGCATATTATGCTGGACCGATATATTTTGCTGACTCCATTATAATATACTAGAGACTGGAGCACCGGTGCTCCAAACTCTAGTATATTATACTGGACAATTATACTTGCTGGAACTCCAGTATATTATGCTGGAGTTCTAGTGTACTTATGCTGGAACTCCATCATATTATGCTGGAGTTCCAGCATACTTATCTTGGAACTCCACTATAATATGTTGGAGTTCAAGCATACTTATGCTGGAACTCCAGTATAATATACTGACGTATTTTCCGGGTTTTGAACAATATTTTTACTTAGATTTATCTTTACATGAAAAATGACTAAATTTCGATTACTTTTGAAACTGCACTATTTTTGAACTACCAGTTATAAATCTGGCTATTTTTGAATTTCTCCCTGGTGGAAAAAGGGGGAAATTAAGTCCCTTTATATAAGTCGCCACAAAATAGTAAATAAATAATAAATAAATACGTTACAAGGGTTAAACTATCTAATTTTTTGTTTGATTCAAACATAAATTTACATATTTAGCAACTACAGAGAAAATACTATAAGTCACAATATAGCTTGTAACAACTAAAATATTTAAAAGACATAAAGATCATGATTAAAAAAAATCTTTAATTCTCCAAATAGTAACTGCATCAATAAATTGGGACGGAGTATAAAATTAGTTTATTGAAAATGTCAGCTACCAAAAAACCATTTTTTACCTCTTGTAGTTTACTGTATATCTCTGAAGAACTTCCAAGGACGGCTTCAGAAGTTAAAAAGGAACAGTTCGTTAATATTTCATACCTTAAGCAAATATCTTATTAATTTGTCTAGATTTGAAAATAGTTCAGCCAAATTTGTAAGTTAGAGAAGGCCATGATTGCGTACATAGAATTCTTGAAACCTAAAATTGCAAAACCAATTATACATATTATATTAACCTATATAAAATTTAAAAAATGTGTTTGATAGAAATTTTCACGGTACCCCATTCATATTCTCTATGCAATCTTTTATTTAGTTTTCTAATTATTGTCTTGTTATCAAGGCTTCTTTCACCGTCTTTAGCCGAGAGTCTATCAGAAACAGTCTTCCTGCCCTTCCAAGGTAGGGGTAAGGCTACGTACATCCTATCATCCCCAGATTTATAATTATATTGGGTGGTTGTTGTTGTTGTAGTCTTAAAAGTTTCACAATTTTGCACCATATATATTTTAGTGATTGTACTTAAATTTGCATGTCGGCTAAACGTGAATCGACAGTCATTTTCCAAGTGACAGTTGACCTTTAATTTTGTATTCTAGCCTTTTATTTTCTTTTTTTCATATGGGAAGTAAAGAGTAATACTACTTCATTCCTCGATTCGAGGTGTTTCCATTTCTTTTTAATCTATTCCAAAAATAATAATATTTTTCTAGATTTAGAAGCACTCAATTTTAATTTCTCATTTTATCCTTAATAACAAACTTTTCTACGTAGCCAGACAAATATAATGTGATTGCTAAATAAAATTCCATTTAGTTAGGTTTCTTGAGTTTATTATATTATTTTATGCCAGCCCATTTTCTTGTTTATTACTGCTGTGATTAAGCAAACTCAGAAATTAGAAGAACTACAAGTTCATCATTTCAGAACAACTTTTCATCTCATACTAACAAAAGTAAATGGAGGCCAATACATATATTGAAATAAATAAGGATCAAAAGAAGCACATGCAAATGATACATGATCTGTTGCACAAATAAAAGAAAACTGTCGTGAAAAGTAGATAGAATAAAATTCAAAAGGAGGTGATTGGCAATAGTACACTGCTATGTTTTAGGAACAGAGAATAATGTGAAAATTTATTTTAGTAAGATGGAGGTGGTGGAGGGTAGTTGTAATAGTAAACGGGCGGAGGCGAAGGGGATGGTGGGGGTGGTGACATGTAATAATATGGAGGAGGTGGCGAAGGGGACGGCGGTGGTGGAGAGTTGTAAACATATGGAGGAGGTGGAGAAGGTGACGGCGGTGGTGGAGAGTTGTAAACATATGGAGGAGGTGGAGAAGGTGATGGTGGGGGAGGAGATTTATAGTAATAAGGAGGTGGCGGAGATGGTGATGGCGGTGGTGGAGAGTTGTAAACATATGGAGGAGGTGGCGATTTATAATAGTAATTTGGAAGTGGTGATGGGGTGGGTGGACTTTGAGTCTTGTCATAGTAAGAAGGCGACGGTATTGGGGAAGGCTGAGGAGAGAACCATTGTGAAGGCGCAAGTACAGACGATGATGCCCATGAATAGTGATATGGGGATGGAGCCCATCCTGAAGGTGAGGGCGGGGAACTATACTTGTATGGAGATGGCGATAATGGTGATATGGTTGGTGAACTTACAGTATTCTTGTCATTGTAAGTAGGGGAAGGCTGAGGAGAGGACCATTCTGAAGCGTAATACTTTTGGGTTGGTGTTTGTGGTGATGGAGATGGTTGTCGTGGTGACTTATTAGAGTTAGAAGGCGCAGATACTGGTGCTGGCTTTGGAAATGATTTGTAACTATAATATTTTCTCCATGTATAGTCATATGGTTTATGACTTGCTTCTACATTCTTGGATATCAAAAGTATTGCCATAAACCATATTAGATGTGGCAAAAATGAAGCCATATTTATAAGAGGTATGAAGAGAATGAGTTGAATTTGATGAGCATAAAGATGGAGAACGTCCCTTTATATAGTCTTCTCATCAAGTTTTGGTACAATATTTTAGTGAACAATGAAGCTTACAGCCCCTAGTTGGTAGACTTGTTCATCAATAGTGAATAGAGTTAAAGGGAGACCAAGTCAATTGCCATATATGCAAAGGGCAAATGGAGCTAGCCAAATGTGCATTCGGCATGAAAAGAGAAAAGGACCAACTATAAATTTAATTTATTGAATATGTCATGACCATATAAACATTTTAATTTGATTCTTTGTTGTTTACATATCTATGAAGAACTTCCAAGGACGGCTTTAAAAGTTCAGAAAAACACTTCATTAATATTCATGCTTTATGCAAATATCTTATTAAATTTGTCTAGGTTTCAAATTAGTTAAGCAAAACTTGTCTAGACTCAGCACTTAGGTTTGCCCCACCTAACCGAAATTTGCCTAAACTCAGTTGAACTCTGACCGACCATCGAAGAGTGACTCTAATATCATATGTGACAGCCATTCTGGGCCTAGGTCCTCATGGGATTAAAACGTGTCACTAGGGTCTAAAATTTGTTAACTTATATATCCAACATCCCTCTTGTGTTTTGCCGATGTGATATTCTGTCTAAACTATGGGGGTGTTAAAAGCCGTTTTGTTGTGTCCAGTTTATTTGCATTGACAATTATCCCCAGGAGGCTTATAGGCTTTGCCCTCTTCTTATGTTGTTTTCTTCAAGACTTAGGTTGGATGGCATGGGACAGCTTCTAATGATTGATCTGAACTTCTTTTTCTATTTTAACTATCCAATATTCGAAATTCATTGGACCGATAAATTCAGATTCACGCCGCACAAGAATTTGAATGAAGCCACTTATATATCAAAATTACATTCTAATTTAACAAGTTACTATATAGTGTTACAGGAAAATGTACAGAGGACATACAAGAAGCTCCAAGCCTTTCACCTTGGCAGTATAGTTCAACCATCAAACACTTAGCTTTGGCCGAAAATCAGACTCCACTAATAACTTTGTAAATTCATCAGCGCAAGCCATTCGAATACGCTCTGGAGTGGCTGGATTATCAAGAGGGAACCAGTCACTGTAACCAGCTTCCGCCCTTGCAGATTTGATGGCGTTCTTGATTGCGAATAAGACAGCTGAGCCAAGAAAGAAAGGTGGTTCTCCTACTGCTTTAGATGAATGGATTGCCTTGGTGTTTGGAGCATCCTGTTGACAAATGCCCAGAAAATTGTTCAACTGCGGACTCAAGATTGCTTGTGCTAAAGCATGTCGACTTCCAAATATAATAGAAATACTATGTGAAAACGCGACAATTATTCAAGAAAAATTAACAGCAGCTACTACCAATAACAATCTACTTAAATTATAAGCAATTTCAAGAAACAGTGAATATCAGCTCACCGATGATGTATTAGGCTTAACCAAGTCTTGTGAAACACAAAGGGCAAAAAAAGTAACAACTAAGAAAATGACAGAGAAGTTTTTAGCCACTGAATAAGAAAATCTAGACGCCTAACGTCAAGAAAGAGATGGTGGTGCAACTTACTTTCAGAAGAGAGACATTAAATTTGAAAGGCACATCGTTCAAAGATGGAAGCTTGTAATTTCCAGGTCCACATGTGAATAGGCATCCAGGTGGAATCCACTTGTGTGCTTTATCGCCCCATTTCAGCTCTTCCAATGCTACCCATCCAAGACCCTGCACAAATGCTCCTTCAATCTGCACCAAGTATAAGGAGTATGCACGAACGTTAGCAAGCACCATTTCAGATTGAAAGATACAAGATCCAGTGAGGTAGTGGTTCTATTTCTTTCCAAATATAGACAATTAGCTGCAAGTCTACAACTGGGATCTAATGGCACTAGACATAATATTTGCAGGTCATCTTTGTAAATATATGAACATTAGGAAAAAAGTAAACAAAGAGAAGATCTGGAAATTTCCCAATTGAGTGCAGTACAAAAAATGAAACGGAAACATTATCTACACATTAAAGTCAATTCTACTCTTATTTCTGGCTTACTATTCAAAACAATGAAATGGAAACATCATCTATACATAGATAGATCTGACAAAAGCCACAACTTGCAGACCTTCAATCATCAAATACTTCAGCATTTACTAATCAATAGTCACCTTTCAAAATTCATAAAAATCAAATTATGTCGATAAGCAGGCCAGTTAAGCAATGAAAAGTTCAGAATTTACAAGTAACAGTACGGAGAGAGCATTAATGACCTGTCCAACATCAATTGCTGGATTGAGAGAGAATCCAAGGTCTAGGATAATGTCTGCTCTCCTAGTATGGAAATCGCCTGTCAATGTGTCAATTTCAACTTCGGCAAATGCAGCACCATAGGTGAAGTACCTAAATGCAGTGCCTTTTCCAGATTTCCAGTCAAAACCAATATCAGGTGTAATGTAGAACCCATGAGCAGAAAGGTCTATTCTCTCCATGTAACATGCACTGACAAGCTGATCGTAAATCAAAGAACAAGACATGTTGATTAATGATCAATGTCCTTTATAATCATCATCACAATCAGTAGAAAAAGACAGTACAATATCTCAGAGTCCAGTTTTGAGGCAGAAATAAAATTTAAGACAGATAAATAAAGTATATTGTGTTGATCACTATGTACTGAATTACCAAAGCTATAATGTCAGCCTTGTTACTGAGCCAAGGAATAAAGCAGGTGATTAAGGTGAAAAAGCTCTTTCTTTAAAGGTCAAGTTCAGAAAAAATCTCTCATTAATCCTGCCTTTCTATAATCTCATTACTAGGAATGTCATGATCCATCAATATATTATTTCTGAAGTTAACAGCCTCATAGCATTTCACCTAAAGTATCTTTTTACGGTTTTACCACTCTCTTTTGCTACATATCCATGTCACTAAGTCCTCCGTCTGTTGCCATACTCACTCACTGCATCTTATACAAAATAAAATCTGCACTCTTAGATGAACAAATCACTTCTCCATCTGTTCTTTTAAGTACCTCCCCTTGTCCCCTTCATAAATTTTTGCATGCCTAGTCCCTAGTTCAACTGACACAAGATGTGGAAAATTAGATCCTTTTACTTTAAATGCAGGAGGTTGGGCTATTTATGAACTTGAAAGTAATATAGTTTGCGCAGTCAACATCTATTTGGTATTCGAGCACTCATATCTTTCCATGCACTGTTATTATCTAGCGTCTCGTTCTCTTCCAATCTAGGATATCTAACACACTTCATCTTTGGCCACTGCAAAATTCTGTTGTTTTCACATTTGGTTCCTTGGCAACCTAAGAACCCAATTAATTATATGGAATTAACCAAAGAAGCCTGGTCAAAGACTAGCCCACACAAGGCTATGCTTGAAGAGATAGTGGATATATGCATCGACTAATAATGCCTAGAACTTGGTACCTCCTCACTTAGCTAACTAAAGCATTTACATCCCTTATCTTCAATCAAGATGCATATGTATTTTGCTTCCTTGGACTGTTCAAACTCAAGTAGTTAGGTAAAAGCAAAAGGTAATACAAATTTAAGGTCTTCAATACTCTAATATACTTTAGAGTGATAAAGATAAATTATCTCCTTCAAATAATAAAATGCCAAGCCATCTTATGGACAATTGGTTCCTAACCCTGAAGAAGTATGACTAGCACATAAGGAGTTCACTCTATTCGTGTCAGAGACTAGGAAGGTGTATCAGGACATAAGCATATACCCTTCCCTTATCTGAAAGATGAGGTCAGATTAGAAATAGTATTTCATAAGCATTCAAAGATCAAGCAAAATGGAGAAAAAGAAACTAAACAGACAATATGATAAAGTTGATCACAAGCCACAACTGATTTGACAACAGCCTAGTATGTTTGCTCTTCAATTAAGTATCGGTTACTGTACCCACTAAGCCACTAAATGAAAGAAATTAACCAGTAGTGCATATTTATTATTTCGTCCTCATGCCTTATTCTGTCCTTGTTCTTGTATAAGTCACCATCACATTTCAAATGATAGGCAAGGAAGTAAATGAGATGAGGAATGAAATAAAACACATACAAAATAGAAAAAGATTATTTACAAGACAGGACAAGAAGAGATACCTCTGCAAATGAGCTAAAGTTATTCTTGGATGCAATAGGCTCCATTCGTGCTTTTATTTGCTCGCATGCATCCAGTACTGCAGCTCCATACATGTCAGAACTTGCAGAAGCAGCTGTTGGCGAAGCATTAGGAACCTAAAATTGGTGAAAAAGCAGATGAGACACGCACTTATATTTTCATAAACTGCAAAACAAAATTGACATGCAACACAAGGAACTTGAATGAAACATCATGACGTGCTAGAAGACCCCACCCTCCCCAACCCCCAAAACCAAGGAACAAAACCACCGCATGGCTGAGGAAGATCAATTTTGCCTTCTCCAATTAGTTACTATATACTTCAAAAAATTTAGGTAGCAATTGTAAAACTCAACACTAGAGAAGCTAAACAAAATACAGAATGTTTTCAAGTTTCTTATAGTGGATATTCACGTCTGGTTAGTTCATTTTCTCTCATTGACATCTCGTACATGCCTACCTCTTCCCTCGTCGCACCCTAATTTAGAAATAAAACAACATTTACGCCACATTATTCCAATGTATACTTTCGGTTTATTCACCAAGAAAAAATTAGAACCTTCAGGCAATGATATATTGATATTCGTGTCAAACCATACCTTATCAGTGCTTGTCTCCGAAATGAATACTGCACTTAGAGGAATATCAAAGGAAGATGCAGCAATCTGGGCAACTTTTGTATGCAAACCTTGGCCCATCTCGACACCCCCATGAGTGACCAACACAGTTCCATCAGTGTAAACTTGAACAAGAGCACCAGCCTGTAGTNTCGACACCCCCATGAGTGACCAACACAGTTCCATCAGTGTAAACTTGAACAAGAGCACCCGCCTGTAGTTCATCCGTC